TTGAATCTTTTTTGCTTTTGGTCTCTTTAAAATATGATTATTATATTTTTTTTTTGTATGATTGAATGCAGTGATATTGTGGAGCTGCAGCTGGAGTGCACAATCTTCACTGGTTTATTTTAAAAGAGCTTTGATTGCTTCTGCTATAGTAAACCACGCGACTCAGAAGAGGTAGACGGAGAAAAGAGGAAGGTCTGAAGCCTCTATTGGCTGGACATCTCGGCGTGATTAGAGGAGATTGTGTGTGTGTTTGACGGAGAGCACTGCAGTTCAACGGGTCTCTAAGTCTGTGTGGTTATTGAAGAGATATTTAAGAGTTCTTGCTGGCTCATTCGGCAGATGTCTGAGATTTAATGCATGTGATTAACACCTGTTTGTGCCTCCATCGGTTTCCTCGAGTCTTTGAGCAGATCCTCTGGTGATGTTTCATTATTAGGTTTCAGCAAACCCCTAACTCGCATTACAATTCATCATGCAACTTTATAAAGAAAATCCTTAGAAAATCAGAACACCCTTGCAATGCATTAACACTCACAAAACGGCAACCACTCAGAAAACCACAACAAACAATTAGCAAACACGCAGATCACCTTAGAAACACCGTAACAACTCAGAGCACCCTAGCAACCACTCAGAACACCTTAAGCCTTGTTCACACTTCATGATTTTACAAATCGTTGAGCTTGCCGACAGGTCAGGGTGTTATCGCGTGCAAATCGCGGGGGATTAGCGGGCGTCGCCGAGCCCAGAAAATATCTAGCATGCTACATATCTAGAGCTGTCACACGACTCAACCTCACCTGATGTCATGAGCTACAGCCAATCAGAGCAAGGAAAAGACGTCCAATTAAGTGTGTTAAAAATGTACTTAAATATGTTTTTTAGTACAATACAAACATAATGTAATGCATTTTTATTACACTTAATTGGACGTCTTTTTCACCAGGGTGGGTTGAGGTCACCGAGTAATTCTTATTTTTTCTTTTTTGCAATTTTTTCTCAGAGCAAATCATCGCGCGAACAGTTTTCAGTGCTAGTTTCTGTCTGACGTCCATATTCGCGCCTTCTTTTCTTCGTCTTCTTCGCTGGGTATTGGCGCACGTGCTGTTTCGCGTCATTTCCCGGTTTGTTTTATTGCGTGATTTTTTGTGACAAAACGTGGTTTGTAGACAAGATACAATCGGTGACAGAGTTGTTGTCAACTCGTGTAGTGCGTTACACCTGATTCAGATCCTCAGCTTGTTAGGATAGACATATGCTGCGTCCCAATTCGCTTACTTATACTACGCCCTAAAAGTATGTACTCTTTTTGTGAGGAAAAAGTACATGCTTTTGAGTGTGTAGCAAAAGAGTAGGCAAGCTTTGGGACATACGTCATCTTTAACGGACGGCTCTGTCGCGTGCTGCGCGCATCCTGTCACCGTAAGCTGCCCTGTCAATCATCTCGTCACAGTTAAAATCCTCCATTCTATCTAATTTTATTTCCTACCGTTTCGGAGAGCACGTTCATCTGCCAGTTGTGGGTCTTTCATGCTCTCCTCGTGTTTGCAATTTGAATATAATGATGCATTTAAAACGTAATGGCTAAACGTGTCTTTACAAAAGTTCACAATGCTGCTGCAAATGCAATATAATGTGGACAACATTGAATATATTCATTTTCGTCAGGTTAGATACTGATAATTAATCACTCAAAGCTCTTTCTCTAAACCTCTCTACACAACCGCGGGGACTCGCGCGTTTTCCGTATCAACTACGTGTCTGTAGTTTTTAACACTTTTTACTCGTGTTTGTAGTTCTAACCGAATCCTCGTCCAACGCGCAATGGTTTGTGGGCAATATCAGCCGTTAGAGTGTGCATCAATCTACACTTCGGATTCGGACCGGAAAAAGTAGACCATCCGGGTCTCTTTGAAACACTCATTTCAACGTACTACGATTTGGGACGTACTAATTCTATTTTCGAAAACTATTTAGGACGGATAGTATGCGAATTGGAACGCAGCAATAGAGTCCATCCTAACGAGAGTCTATCCTAAATATGCAGAGAAGTGGGTCACGAGGACTGGATTTGAGAACCCCTGATATAGAACATACATTTTAAATGGTTGAAGAGTGAGTTTCAAACTAGGGATGCACCGAAATGAAAATTCTTGGCCGAAACCGAAAACCGAAAAAGAGGAAACCAAGGCCGAAAACCGATAACCAAAACACCGAAAGAATTATTAGTATCATTGCATTTATGGCTATGACTGTGTACAAACTTTACTAAAATCAAGGCATTGCAATTGCATATTAATATCACATTTTCAAAGAATAAATCAATTACAAATTATGCAAATATTTATTTAGCACAATGCACAGTATAAAATAAAATTCTAAATAAAATGTTTAACTTGACCCCACTTATGTGTACACTAAATAATAATCTACTGGCCTGCAGAAAGGTTTTAAAATGAAACGTTCTCTCAAAAACAAAGCCGAGCGAGCGCAAACTTCTCATCAAACCAGGACCCAGTTTGCATGTCTAAATTAGTTACATTTTAAAAATTTGGCATACAATAGCATAAAAAGCCTTTTTAAATGAACAATAGTCCATGTTTAATACAAATGTACATGAAACTTAATGAGACATGTTTAGTGAATGTATTTAAATATTTAAGAGAGCATTAATTTAGTTCTATACATACATATACATAGTTCCCAATCCCATATACATATTTTTTTGTAATGTCACAAGTAATAATCTCAAGGTTTTCCGGTATTTTCGCTGCCTTGTTTACTTTCGCCTGCCTCCGCAGCGCGAGTCTCCACAGACAGCGCGCGCACCGCTCTTGACCCGCTCGCAACCGGAGTCGTCGTCATGGCGGCGCGCGTTGTTTAGAGCAGATATAGGTGGATAAACAAGGTTTCCGTCTCATCGCGGGTTCAGATACACTGAAATGTTGTTGCTTCAGACAAGCACGTGCAGGTTGCGGTTTCTGTTTGCGTCATCACAACATTTCGGCCGTATTGTTTCGGTGATAAAAGTCTTTCGGCCGAAAACCGAAAATGCACTTTTGGGACATTTTCGGCCGAAAATTTTCGGCGGCCGAATATTCGGTGCATCCCTATTTCAAACCAAATTTAGTACCTTCTAACAGTAGGCTATACAATTCCAGACGCAGCAAATGTCTATGCCTAAATGTATCGAGTCGCTGCCATGTGATTGGCTGATTAGATATTCGCAATAATGAACAGGTGTACCTAATAAAGTGGCCATATTTTATTATATTATTTACCTTTATGTAACTCTTGCTTTTGCCAAAAATTAAAATTTTTAATATTTTTTTTAAACTACAGCCAGGGCCTAGTCACAGCTCAGACCTCATACATGACACCTTTACTGCTGTCCTGAGATCTGTGTTAAACCAATAATGATGAAACTCATGGGTTAGCAAACAATATTGTACATGTGAAGCATGTTTTTAGGCTAGTCTTTTGGCTGTTAATATTTGAGAGCTTGAAGTAAAGCTGTAAAACTGATAACAGATGTACAATCTGACCAGAGTTCATGTTCTATAATGTCTTCAGCAGCCATAATGTTCCCTAACACACACAAACACACACTGTTTTTCCTTTGAATCATTCCCGAAATGCCACATCTGATCAGGAATCAGTTTCTGGTTTGTGGAGTCTCTACTATAACAGATAAAGAAGACTTCCTTCTTCACTTCTCTCTTTCTGTGTCTCTGTTCATCTGGCTGTGTTCCAATCTACATTCGGTATGCACTGTTTATCTGAATGTAACACTCTTGAGTGTACAGTAACACAGTATGCCTTTGCCAGTATGTTAACTTGACCCTTTTAGATGTGTGATTAATATCCAGCTAAATGCATTACCTTATATTATACCATGGTCTGGGTGAATACTCGATTCTGATTGGCTGCAGGGTGTCCGTTAAAAAGTGATAGAGGACACCTAGTAAAGTAGTTCTGGTGAAACTGCCTGTTTACCATTCGAAATGAATAAATAAATGCGCTGCCTACAACGGCTGTGAGTAACCATAGCAACAGGCAGTCACATGCTCTATCATCTAACGTTAGATATTATAGCCTAATACAACAATGAGCGACTTCGTGCTATTTCTTTTAACATTTATGGAGAATATGGCAACTTTGACGACTGGTATGCTGCTGAAGAAAGAAAAAATTTAAATAAAACGGAGAAAATTACACCGCTGCTGCTCTGCTCCATTGAACTCTATTGGTAACGACGTAACTTGCGACCATAGTTGGATAACGATGCTTTCGGGAAACGCACCCCTGAATGAGACCCTACGGGAGTTTTACGCAGCTGTCCAGACAACCGAGGCAGGAGAAGGCTGAACGTTACAGCGTTTCAAGCCTAAGGAGCCTGAGGCAAATGACCCTCTCTTTGATCTGATTAATTTATTGCCCTCTATAACGTTAAGCGCAAATCGCTGGAGCTCAGAGCTAATTGTTTTTTTATTGTTGTTTGATTAATTGTTTTATGTGTAATAAAAAAAAAAAAACTATTCCTACCTTTGTGTTTCATGAAAAAAAAAATGCATTTGTGAACCTGAAGGGATACGAGCTAAGTGGACTATAGGCTAAATATCTCCGGTTGCTAAATAAACAGTCAGGCAAGGCAAGTTATTATTTGTAAAAACTAGATTTAGCCTAATTAAAATATAAACTAATGTTTTAAAAATGTTTTATTTGGCAAGTGACCATGGTATAAGCGGGTTAATGCCCTCCGAGGTGTCCATTGTCAGGTTTTAATGGACTTCGGCGGAGGCAACCGTCCTCCGCTGCGCGTCGGTCGGTTTACGCCTCGCCGTCGTCCATTAAAACCTGACAATGGACACCTCGTCGGGCATTAACCCTTACTTGTTTTGTGATATGTAACCGCTCACCGTTATACTTTGACGATGTCTGCCTCTGCCAGTATGCCGCCCACCCCTAAATCAAATGTTTTCCACTCCATGTGTCTCCAGCTCTCTGGAGGGTGTGAGCTGACGGTGGTCCTGCAGGACTTCGTGTCGAGCAGCACGTCCGAGCTCAGCATCCAGACCGGTCAGACGGTGGAGCTGTTGGAGCGTCCTGGAGACCGGCCGGGATGGTGTCTGGTCCGGACCACAGACAAGACCCCGTCTCAGGAGGGACTGGTGCCCAGCAGCGCTCTCTGCATCTCTCACTCGCGCAGCAGTGTGGAGATGGACTGCTTTTTCCCAGCGGGCAAAGGTAGGACAGAGCTGGAGATTCTCTGTTGTGCAGTTGAATTTGAGCATGTGATATAAGTTCATAAACATATTTGTTTATTTTGGGAATTTGTTTATCTTGGGCTCATGTTTATGCTTAAGTCGCTCATGTTCACCAAGACTGTATTTATTTGATCACAAATATAATAAAACATTACATATATTATAAAATTTTAATTTATTCCTGTGTTTAAAGCTGAATTTTCAGCATCATTACTTAACTCCTGTCTTCTGTCACATGATCCTTCAGAAATCATTCTAATATGATGATTTGATGCTCAGGCATTTACAGGTGAAACTCGAAAAATTAGAATATTGTGTAAAAGTTCTTTTAATTCAGTAATTCAAGGAGAAACTAATATATTATATAGACTCATTACATGCGAAGTGAGAAATTTCAAACCTTTATTTGTAGGGCTGGGTATTGATTCACATTTCAATTTCGATTCGATTTCGATTCACAAGCTCTCAGTTCGATTCGATTTCGATTCTCGATTCAATTTTCGATTTTGATTCCTGAATTGATTCTCGATTCGACTATAATGAAGATGTAATACAAATCCTATATTTATAAAAAAGAACAGTGGACATAAGTTTACTAGTGGTTAATTAATACAAGGAAATTAAGAGCCATAAACCTGTATATAAAACTCTTTTTATTTTAGGTACACTAAATGCATACAGAGAATAAACAGGATTTTGATGCAATATGCAAAAAAAGTCAGAACAGTCGCACAGCTTGATCAAACAGGATCATGTTATTTTATGTTTAAGATAGATATAGATAAATATATAAATATTTAGAATTTTTTTTTTACATTGATCTTACCTAAATAATGTTTTTTTTTTTTGGTTTATTTTTGTTTTTGTTTTAAGAGTTTATGTATGTATGCTTGATTTCAATCTTTGAATTAAATGTAAAAACGTAGCACCAATAAATACAGTAGAATAAAGACACAAATTAAGAGACATTTTGGGGTAGTTTTTTGGGTATGTCAGAAATACTACAGAAACTGAATAAAGTAATCCAATGTAAAATAACACTGGATAGTCTTTTTAGTCCAGACTGAATTAAATACAAAGGCTATTAATTTTAAATGCTTACAATTAATACTATATTCTGTTGTTATGACAACAGAATTAATGACTGACACAAATGGCTGCGTTCACTTTAAGAACTAACGTTAGTGTGCGAATCAATTACTGTTTCATTAACTTTCTGTCACACGCGTTTAATGCTAATTTAAGACATTACCGACTGTCTTTACGAGGTTACTCACCAAGACCAGAGTTTTGACATAATGTCGCGTGTTTTAACTGTTAAAGCGATATAATCCAGGGATAAAACTTTTGTTTCTGGCGAGCTGTTTGTGAGGCGGATTTAGGCTGTGCACGCAGTGAAAGAAATCTCTGAGAGTGCGCGAGCACGGGATGGTTTAACATTGCTTGTAAAACTTAAAAAGACGTGAAAATGATAAACGTTAGTTACGATCATAGGTTACGATGCAATGCTGGCCCGATTGTTAAGTGAATATTCTGTCATGTCCCGACTCCTAAACGCGTGTGTGTATCGACAGCTGCAGCGCTTGCCGCTTGCCTAGTGCAGAGAGACGAGAAGATGCAGCACCGCGTCCGCGAGCCCTTTATATGAAAAAAAAAATCGATTCGTGGCCGTTGAGAATCGATTTTGAATCTAACACATTTTAAAAAACGATTAATCGAAAAATCGATTTTTTTGCCCAGCCCCATTTATTTGTTATAATTTTGATGAGTATAGTTTACAGCTTATGAAAACCTTTTCACAATATTCAAATTTTGAATTTGGTGTTTTCATAAGCTGAAACCCTTAAACCAACCCATACCACCAAACCTGTCCTAAACTTACCCGTATCACCTCAATAGCAGCAAAATACTGTAGTTTTGCAATACACCGTAAACACAATTTGATATGATCAAAATGAAATATGATCAAAAATGGCTGTAAAAAATCAATCTGCATTGTTAAACCTATTGATCTTTCATTCAAAAAATTCACAAAAATCTAACCTTTCATTGAAGTAAAAGAACAGAAAGTGGGGGGAGGGGTTTTTTTCCAAAATAGTTTTTCTGGCCATAATTGTTGGATCCCTGTTATAATAGTTTTTGTAACCTCCTTTTCCCAAGAGACCAGCTCTGAGTTTCTCTCCTATAATGCCTGATGAGTTTGGAGAACTGAGATAATCTCTCCAGACTCCCAGATCCATGTTGGCACTTCTCTTCAGTTCACTCCACTCATTATCTATAGGGTTCAGCTCAGGAGACTGGGACGGTCATTTTGTTCTCAATGACACATTTTTGTGTTGATTTTGATGTTTGTTTTGGACTGTTGTCCTGATGGAAGATACGACCACGACCCATTATAAGATTTCTAGCAGAGACTTTCAGGTTTTCTATCTGTTGGTATTTGATAGAATGCCTTATACAATGTATCTGTCCAGAACAAAATGTCCAGGACCTCTAGCAGAAAAAATATGCCCACAAAATTAAAGATCCAGCAATCCATTTAACCGTAGGCATGGGCTACTCTTTATCCCTGTGTGCACCAAACACACCTGTGGGGTTTGCTGCCAAAAAGCCCTTTTTTAGTTTCATCCGACCATAAAATCCGGTCCTTTTTGAAGTTGCAGTCTTGTCTGAAAACTGAATTTGCTAGAGTTTATTTTTGGACGAACGAGGAGATTTTTCTTGAAACCCTCCCGAACAACATGTGGTGATATAGTGGCTGTTTAGTTTTAGTTTTTTTGTTTTTTAGGATTTCTGACCCCCAAGACTTAACTAATCTCTGCAATTCTCCATTTGTGATCCTTTGGTCAAACTTTCATCCTCACCATGCATTCAGGCAATATAGACACACGTCCTCTTCCTAACAGATTTGTGACATCTTTAGTTGATTGGAACTTCTTAATCATTGCCCTGATGGTCAGAATGGGGATTTTCAACTCTTTAGAAATTTTTTTACATCCACTTTCTATTTTGTGATGCTCAACAATGTTTTAATGCACATCAGAACCATGTTCTTTGGTTTGATTTAGGAAATTTGGCCTTTGCGCTTCCTTATATTTAAACTCCTGTGAAACAAGAAGTCATGGCTGGACAATTCCATGTTCCTAGTCACCCTGATGTGCTAAAAAATGTAAACATTAATGGGAATATCCTTCAGAGATATTTTACTCGTAAAATATTCTAGGGGTCGCGTGCCAATAATTGTGGCCAATGTGTTTTGGAGAAACACATTTATTTAATAATGTGATTTCCCCTCAACTTTCAATGAAAGGTTAGATTTTTGGCTTTTTTTTTTTTTGAATGAAAGGTCAAAAAGGATAAACAATACAGATTTATTTTTTTACAGCCATTTTTGGTCATATTTACCAGGGGTGCCGTTATTATTTTTTTTTTTTTTATTTTTTTTATTCACAATTTCACCCATATAACACACACAACACAATAACAGAAAACAACAAGAAGAATACTGCTAAGTATATCGACAATAAAAAAAATAAATAAATAAATTATATATATATATATATATATGAAGAGTTCAGATGCAAAAGCCTCTAAATGCCATTTGAATTTTTCTTCTTTAATGATGATTTTTATCAAACTTGTATACTTAAGTTCAGTAATTTCACTTAAATAACAATTAATAGGTAATTATCATTGCCATTTAAGTGAAATTACTGAACTTAAATATACAAGCTTGATAAAAAAATCATCATTAAAGAAGAAAATTTCAAATGGCATTTAGAGGCTTTTGCATCTGAACTCTTCATATATATATATATATATATATATATATATATATATATATATATATGTTATTGATCCCAAAGTATTAAAAGTAGTCTATAACTTGCAAAGGTTTTCATAAAAAAAAAAAAAAAAAAACACTGTTATAAAAAAAATCTTTTGGCCGTCTGATCAAATAATGAGTCAAGGAAGACATGCTAAAATTGCTTTTGATATTAACTCAAATTTGTTAGTTGAGTGCAATGCATTTTCCTGTCAATCCAGTGACACTACACACTTTGTCCTCTAGATGGCACCATTGTTTTTTTTTTTTTTTTTTTTGTTATTAGATAGAAATGAAACTGACTCCCAAAGAGTTCATAATGTTTCTCACAGCATTAGCATGTTTGTCTGCGCTAGTGACATGATGCCCTTATTAAACACGCGATGCTGGGTAGACTTGCTGTTTGTTTCCAGTGACATGAGTGACCTCTCCATGGCCTTTTACTTAGACAGATACTATGAGGCTGTTAGCATGATCTCCAGCTCACGTAAAGTCACTTTTATAATGTGGAATATTTCAGAGTGAATCAGGATCAGGAAATAAAATAGGGCGGGACTTGACTGGATTTGTTTTAATAGCATGCACCAGTGAATCATGCACAGTAATATGAAAAACTGAAATCAACTTCCAAAGGAGTTAAAAATGTTGATATCCACTGCTATATAGACTTTTTTTTCTTGTGTTCAATAAAGGAACAATGTAAAGTATAATCATTATGGACTAAAAACATGTTACTCACACTCAAACACCCTAAACGTAGGAAGTAATGAAATACCTCTGTGGAAATATTCCATTTCCTTTGTGTGTTGCAATTTTCCAACCAGCACGTCTTTTATTTTCTGTTACTTGTAGGATTTATTTTCTGAAGTGTAAAAAAACAGTGAGTAAAATTTACTTAATTTATTTTAAGGCAAGTTTTTGCACTGATATTTTTTGAGTCTATTTCACACATAGAATTAAGTAAATACTTAACTAAGTTAAGTGAAAGTAACATAAGAAAGTAAGTAATTTTTATTAATTAAAGGTTAAGCAATATCTATTCTATTTAATTAAATTTGTCTTTGTACAACATTTAACTCAAACAATATAACATTTGATAGATCGTTTTTGTGTTTGAATGTGTCATTTTAAGTAGAAAATGAACTCCAAATGTT